TTAACTAGTGTAAAGTTTAAAAACTAATCTATAATATTTAAAAGTTAAAAACTAAAAAATAAAAATTTGAAGCTTAGAGCCGAGATATATATACATATATAACTTCATGAAATTTAAACATTTTATCACAATAAAAATTAAAAACAACAAAATTAACCAATTGAATCCAAACTAGAGGCAAGCCATTTTACCTATACAATTCAAACATAAGTTACACATAATATTCAGTCTGAGTCTCAAATTCCCTACGAATCGTTGCCTTGTGCCATAACAGTGCTAGGCGATTAGATTTATACGTTAACATGTAAAGGGAAGTTTTTACTTACAGAGAAGAAACATCGGCATTCAATAGAAGATCAAGATTCTGTAAGTAGAAACAAACGGATTTGACTCTATGCACATACTTTCCTTAGAATGTCTCCACGCATTACATGTATGAATTTGCACATAATTACAGAATGTTCACAGAAGATACAAACAATACCCAGAATATGAAGAATCAAAATGATGAGGGGTAACTTTCTGCCTGAAGACTCCGACCGGTTTTCGGTCGATGACCTTTACATTTCCTACTTTCCCTCCATGAATCTCAACATATCACTTTACAACTGACGAAGCTGGAACTGGAAGCAAGCACCCAGGCAAAATTGTGGGGCATGACTTATGGTTCCAACTTGAAAGGTGCTGCATCTCCACATTCTTTCTATTAGGGGGGTTGTCAGCCTACCTACTTATTTGTGTTTTGCCAGAAATTTGGCAGGGAGAACGAAACTTATGATTGTTGAAGTACTAGGTTTAATTCCTGAGCGCTTCGTGCTAGAGAACCGCCTCTCCTGTAGCAAAATTATGCAGAAAAAGAAATGAGACCCAAGCCGAGATGTTAACTGGTAGAGTCCCAGAAGAAAATGATTATACCTTACAAATGATGGAAGAATTTTTTGAATCTTCTGCAGCTGGGTGAAGCATTGCTTACAGCATTTTATCCTGTGAGTTTCAAGCGGATGACGCCATATTTACTCCGGTTTACATATATATTCTAAAGGAACTGAAAACAAGATTAAAAACCACCTCTGCTCTGCATGAAGGTCAACACCAACTACTGGAGGTGCTGATACTGCTGAGGTTATAACATGACCGAAAACCGCCACAAGCTTTAATAGAATCTCCATTGACAAACTGGCATGCCTACCATATACAACGTAAGCCGTAAGAACTTCTTACATCTGAGTGAATTGTCCTCAACAGGTATAGACATTTTTAACTGTTGAATTAGCGGTATTTTTAAAGGGCATTATGTCAGTGACTTTCCAGACCATTTCAGTAAGGAAGGGGCATAAGATGGGAATAAGTTCAGGTGGTATATTTGTTGAATATCCTTAAGCTCGAGGAGTAAGAAATTTATTACCACTTCACACCTGAGATAATTACCTTTCTATCTTGCTATCCAATAAACCCACGAGTACGGGAAGCAGGCACGAGAATAAATCTAGAGTCAAGACATCCATCTTCTCAATGAGAACGCTGATCACATCTGCTTGCACCTGCATCATAACCTAATTGTTCTTGAAAAGCGCCATTTAAAAAGAGAGAAGATACCAGTTGCTTAAAAAAATTGAAGGCACTTCAAAGTATTAAAAAAAAAAAAAAAAGCAACCGCGGATGAACCAATTCAAAAGATACCCACAGAATGATCCGGCAGCCTTGTCAAGGCATTTATGGCACCTTTCATGTCATTCCRCTCCCAAAAGTGTCGCACCACCTGCAAGATACTCATTGATATGAACGAAACTTCCAAGAACAGAAAGTTAATGGTCCAAACAAAAATATCAAATAGGCATTCCAATCGTAGGTATTATAATCATCACAAATAGATTGATAAAAGTCACACAACAAAACTGTTTCTGAACCAAGCACATTGATAAGCCAGCATGTTTTTTTGGCGGATGTTGCTTTTTTTTCTCTCTTTTTCAAAAAAGTCGACTTGTGAAGTTTATGAAAACAAGTTTCACTTTGTGGCTCGTTTACAAACCTACCGCTGTTAAAGGGGCATAGTTGTAGTTCACGGTTTGTTTCACATTAGTTCATTGTATAATCTACATTCTGAAAGAAAATTACCTGCAATTTTGTCAGGCGGGAACGGAGGCTGCTTAAGAATACATCATGAGATTGCATTAAATCTTCAATGACATCCCTATCATTTGGAGAGGTAGAATCCCTTCCAGAAACTTGAGGCTCCCCTTTCTGCCATTAACCAAAAAACACAAAATGACTGGTTTGAAGAAACCTAACAAAGTAAATATGTGCCTATGTCCGACTTGCATTTATGAAAATTCATTGACATTCGCTATTCTCTATAACTACTGCATGGAAACAATTTTTCAACAGAAGCACAAAAATTCCTCAATTGGATAGCATTTCAAACAACTTCAAATGTAACCTTAAATTCTAATAAGATTGATGAGGTTCATTAATTTCAGGCCTTTACAAAAAACAAGAAAAAAAATCAGCTTGACAATATAAATTTGCAAAAAGACGCCCGAATGAAGTGCTATAAATATATGTAAATAGATGTCATCATATACATTGGAACACCGCTGTCTATTTAAAGCTTCATAGTAGCTGTACCTGTAAATCGTCTCTTCTATCTGTTTCAGGGATACGAGAAGGTATAATTGTTTTCACTTCATAGTTATTTGTTGTTTTTGCTTCACACTTAATGGTTGGCTTCTCAGTTTCAGGGGTACGAGGTCTAACCATTGCCCGTACTTCATACTTATTAGTTTGTTCTCTTGACTTCTCAGGTTCAGGGACATGAGAGGGTATAACCATTGCCTGTACTTCAAAGTTATTAGTTCGTTCACGTGTCTTCTCAGGTTCAAGGATCTGAGAAGGTGCAACCATTGCCTGTACTTCATAGCTATTAGTCTGTTCTCTTGTCTTCTCTAATTCAAGGACATGGGATGGTGAAACTGTCGTCTGTACTTCACAATTATTAGTTTGTTCTCTCCTTTCAAACCTCTCGACTAGAGTGCGAGTCCTTCCAGGAACAACTGCCACTGCAAAATTAAGATATAAGACCATTCAATTTCCACACATTTACTTCATATTTTCTGCCAGTGGCAAATAGACAAATAGACATGGATTACAAACCTCCATTCACAAATTTAACGGAGTTGACCGCTTTGCTATCAACTGATTTATTGCCTGGAAATTTTGCCATAAAATAAAATAAAAAAAAACTATATAAATGGTTTTAAAATGATGCAGACATATAATAATAGAGCATCCACGCAAGGTAAGGACAACATCTTACGGATTTCTTGTTCAGAAGGCATCTCAGCAGAGGGAACTTTTTCAATCTTCTCTTCAATACTTTTGATGTCAGAAGTTTTTGTATGAGAATCTTTATGTACTTCGGGTACAACACTAGCTTGGAAGTTTGGTTGTTGAGTTCTATTCAAATCATGGAAGGTATGACTAATATTTACAGAATCTACAACTGGTAGTTTCTCGAGATCAATTTTTCTACTTGAATCAACTGACACTGATAGTTTTTCAAGATCCATTTTACTATTTGATGGCTTTCTTACATGAGCTGGTCTGAGTAACATACCACGCCTTGTCTTGGAAAATGTGATAGATTCCCTTACAGAGCTTGGTGAGTCTTTACCCTCGGTACTATCACAAGGTACAACCGGGGGTTTGTCGTTTGATACTTCATTGGATTTCATTTCAACTCTTGATGCAGGACTTTGCTTTGGGCTTGAATCATAGCTAATCTCCTTTGAGTCCAATGTGAATACAACTTTTGGGGAGCTTAAAGATTCAGCTTTCTGTGGGGCAACAGGCTTTCCACCGGTTGCTTTACAAAAACAAAAAATAAAATAGAAACTATATTTAAAATACATGTGTGAAAGCAGACAAGCATGCATAAAATAAGCTATATGTGACATGAAATAATTAGTTTATACTCGTCTCATTGGTATTCTAAATAGCAAAATCCCCTTATGGGAATATCTGACCGACCAACATGAAGTGCACATCAGTTGGATAAATTTTAAAGACACAGAGGTTAATCCTGTTCCTGACTATCAAAAAATGATAGAAACCTAAAGAAGTTGGGTGTCCTATGTAACGGTTGCATGTTGCATCAAAGTTCCGGTTTTTTAATACAATTTCCTGTTCATTTGTGTTAGATTTGGAGACCCAATTATTGAACCCGTTGGGTCAATTTCCAGTATGCTCTGAAATGCAATTTATTATGTTGGGCAGTTGTAAATAAACAGAAAAGGAGATGGAGCGAGCTGCGGCCAGACAACTACAAAGGTGTGAACAATGAATTCAGTATAGCTATAACATATTTGTATTGCATGAAGAGAGAAACCAGCTTCATCGCTAAAAAGATAGAGATCCACTTGGTGATATTATTAAGATCCAGGTTCTTTTCCTAATAAAATTTATTACTTTTGGGGATTTTCTCTGTTTTCTAGCAAAGAAACCATTGCAAACTCATGGTTGCAGTTAGAAATTTATTGCAAACAGTGATTGTACTCCTAACACTTAAAATAGGGTCACGGTCAGGAACCTATCATAAAAACGTTAAGCACAACCCCTCCTTGCGAAGCAGAAAATGAAGACTTACTGTCTACGTATATGTTTTTTATCTCCTTGGTTTCATAATCAGGAGACACAGATTGCAGATTTGAAGTCCTTAGACCAGCTCCAATGCTTTTGCAAGCTAGATTGTTCTTGAAAGTAGAATTAGATTTCTGTTCTTTCGGCTCCTTTTGTGCAGATACTGAACTAGCTCCATAAGGCTCAATATTCTGGAAGTGAGAACAGAAAATGAGGATACTTTTTCTTAATTTACTTGAAAAAGAATGTGGGTAACAGTAACACACAAGTTTCCAAAAAGATTAGGTTAGTATACCGCTACATCAGCTACCCAAACTCCAACAGAATTTCTATAAAATGAGCAGCTCAAAAGTTTCCCATCATGAATGCAAAGGTCACCAAGTGTTGACCATCCCATATCAACAGAATCATGACAGATGACAGGCTCCCATGAATATACCTACAATACCAATGAAAAGAGATATGATGTTAATGTTCGGGTAGATGTTATGGAGGTAATAACTCTTTATTCTGGATCTCGTTGTTGTGAGAAAGTATCACTCCTCACCTTCAGACTTTCATCTAGACCAGAAAACAGGGTCCTCCCATCTGGGTGGAAGGTGATTGCACGTACTCCAGTTGCCTGGATAAAAGATATTAAGTAACTATGGAGGGAGAGAGTATTGAAAATCTTGTAACTTTTTGTTAAAAGAAATATTTTAGAAAGGTTCAGCACCAAAAACATGGAAATATGCTTCACTTTCCAACATTAATCTCCCACCTGGAGGAAGAACAAGAAACTGACCATCTATTACAATGCTAAGGCAACTTGTCTTTCTGAACAGAATAGATATACCTCTGGTCTTGTAGATCCAATCAATTCAAAGGTTTCCAAATCCCAGAATTTTACAGTTTTATCCGCTGACCCTGGAAATATGTATCATACAGTAAAATTTTTACTCAGTGAGGGAGAGAGAAAAGAGAAGGTAATCTTAGGATGCATAAAGGCAATAATACCAGTATCATATTTTTAATAAATATAAAAAGTGCACCAAGAGGGCATTGTTATTTGAGATCTGCATATTTCTCTTGTTTTGGGGTGGGGGGAGGGCGAGACAAGCAGGAGAGATGCAATTTAACTACATCAGGCAGCATGAAAAACTAATTGCTGTTTTTGTATTTAAGAAACTTCCCACTAAAGCATCAACCATTTCATCTTTCTTTCACTCACCTGTCGCAAGGAGAAACTCTAGTGGATGAAAAGCTATGGATCGAATGTGCCCTTCATGGAACTTAAAATCATGCAACAGCTTTCCTGCAGTTAGATCCCATACCTACTCAAGAGCAACTTCAAATTATGGCCATGATAATAATGATGATAGAAAGCTACGCCATTTATAGTGTGATTCATTATTACCTTTACAGCACTATCAAATCCACCAGAGACTACCCATCGACCATCTGGCGTGAACTTGATAGTACTAATGCCTTGAGTGTGACCCTTGTATGTGTGAATGCAACCTTTCTTTCTGATATCCCAGATTTTTAGATTAGTGTCTCTTGAACCTGATGCAAAGAACTCACCAAATGGATGAAACTCAACTGCCGTGCAGTTTGATCTGTGACCAGAAAGAGTGCGAACCACTACACTTCAAGAACATAACAAAAGATTAGAGGTTGTAAATTAAGGAAAATAATCTTATGTTTTTATCAACAATTGAAGGCAGCAATTAACGTTCTATAAATGAACAATGCACCATAGTTATATATGACCGATGATTTAATTAACAATAAATACTCATCTATTGGATAGGAATTTCACATATATGTACAAGTAAAGAAAATTGTCGAGCAAACTTACTTTTAGCCTCTTCAAGATCCCACAGCTTTATCACACCAGAAGAAGCTCCGGCGAGCACCAAAATTTCAGCTGAATCAAAAGCTACTGATTCAACTGGATTAGTATGACCGCACAGACTCTGCACAAGACCAAAAGAAAAACTCCAAGTCTATTACAAGAGAAATTACAACCATGGACCATATATTGTGCCAAAATGTAATCCAGAAAGAATATGCAGCCAAAGGATTTCAACAATTATTTGTCTTTAATTGCATTCTACAAAATCACAATTTAAGCCCCTAAAGTACAAGGATATTTTCATCAACAACATGGTGAGGATAAAAAATATGTCTGAAGACTGGCCATCAGAATGGTACCCATCAAATATACAATTCTTTAACCAACCGTCAAATAAGTTCATGAATATGCATATAATAGGAAACTTATGAATTTATGACATGTCGTCCCTTCGAGGACACCTGATTGCGTACAAAGAGATGGAAGATGAGGCATTCTACTAACCATCAAAGAATGAGGTTTTCCGATTGTCCAAAGGTTGACTTTATAATCTCCACCAGTTATAAACAGTCGGCAAGCTTTTTTCCCAATACTTAGACAGTTGACGTTTGCTGAGTGTGCCGCAAATTCCTCTGGTTTCAAATGGGTCAAGGAAATGCTTTATAACCATAGAAGTTGAGTTAACCCCTTAACAGAAAAAAAAAAGTTCTAATTTTAGCTTTAAGTCATGTAAATTAAAGAAGATAAGCGCCCAATGATATCCAGGAAGCTAAAGAAAATAAAAGAAAATTATTAATCGATCCACGTACACCATCCTGAAGCAAAGGCATTAACTATCCCGAGACATATCAAATTAATGAAAACAACAAAATACGTTTGCACAACCATAGCATGAAGATCATCAATCCTAAGTCATCAGCCCAAAAAATAATTAACCTCCGCTTACACTTCCTCAACATCCAAAAAGAGCATTCCAATCCCTAATGCTATAAATTCGGTCCTAAAGTTGGTTTATGCTTAGATTCATTGAGCTCTTCTCAGCTAACTAGAAATCTGATCCCAAATTTTCCGCGGAGAGCAGGCAAAAAGCTAAAATGACTGAAAGTTATCAAACTCGAATTTTAGCTGAGCATCCGAGCAAAAAAAGAAAAAAAGAAAAAATCACAGTACTAAAGATTACAAAAGGATACGTAGTTTATATCCACGCTTCGCCATTGTCCAGGAGAACTAAGAGGCCAACTCTGAAGTAGAAATAAGATCGGAAAAACGAAATCCGCGCGTTGTACGACTAAATTGAATTCACTTGGAACCGAAATTGACTAGAAGATTCAACGAGCAAGAAAGCTCCCAACTCAAAACAGAGGTCGCCACTGGAAAACGAAAATCAAGAATCACCGTGAAAGATGAAACGTGAACTGCAATTCAGCTCAGATTTGGGATTGCAGTGAAGAAGAAAAGTTGTGGGCTGAAATAGTAAATGAAATAAAAGGAAGAGAATGGTTGTTTGCTTTTAGAGATGGGAACCATAATTCATTCAGACCGTGACTGAACCATTTCCGTATTGTTCTTTTCGCATTTACCATTATACCCCTCCTCTGTTCCGCAACTGGATGAAACCCACGCCCACGCCTTTTGGGCTTTCTGGTCATAAACTGTGCGGCGTGTCAACCCCAAATCCCGCCCCTATATTTTCTCGTGGCTCATACATTTATTTCCTTATATTTAATTTCTGATCATTATTCTAAAATTTTTAATACCATTATTTTTTCTCCGTTTATGTGGTTTTTAAAAATAAATAAATAAACAAGAACGACTTCTGTCAAAATCATATGGGTTGGCCATTCATTTCAGTTTGAAACAGCCAAAGGGATTCCTTGCAAACTATTTTCTCTTCAATATTTATAATTTTCAGGTATTTTTCTATTTTCAATTTGATTATGATGTATAATTTTGATAAATTATTTATACTTTAATTAATATGAAAGCTCTAAACTGCCTAACTGAAATTATTCGCAGTGCACTATTTCTCTAATTTTCATATCTAGACAAAGTTATCTTGTTAATTTAGGAATTAAATAAATTTTTATTATTTGTTAAGTCATATACAAATAAAATTAATGGCTTAATTTAAATATAGAGGCTAATTGCCCATTCTGTCTGTGCAATAATGAATATGGTGTGCATGTTCAGGTTTCAACGCGGAGAAGGATGGCACTATAACGTGGACGATTTCCTCTCGTTTCCCAAAACATTTTTTTTTCTTATTTTTTTAAATCTATATCTGTTAAATAATATCGATCATAGTTTTTGACAATAAAGTATTCCTAATTACCAAATTATTCATTTTATGACAGAACTCTTTATGAAATTCGCTACCTGCATACTGCAGATTTTAGAAATTGAAGTATTGTTTATGGTGAAAGAAGACGACACACGACAACGATGTAACAACCTATAATACTGCAATTGGAATTCTATTTAACTAATAATAAACATAGTAATCAAATTACGAAACAAAAACTGTCCGATTAAGATATCAATTATATAACTGTAGGTTAGCGGTTTGAATCTCTATATATATTTGGTAGAAATGTTACTTTCCGTTCCGACAATATTCGGATAATATACTCGATTTTAACCAACTCAAAGTTGGGAAATAACTTATGTTTCATAAATTTGAATTATTTTAAAATTATGTTTTGTGAATTATATAGTTTGAGAAATGGTTTTAGAAGTTAAAGATAAATAAATATTTGGGATGTGCATGACTTAATTTGGAATACATAGGCGTACCCTACAGCTGGAAGAAAACGTACAAATGTTTTTATCTCGTAGCTGTTTTTTCTTTGAAAAAAATTCAGTTTTGAGATTTTATATTTATTTTATTGGTGGGGTTTCATGACTTGTTGGGGCGAAGTATTGTGATGTATTAATTATTATAATATAATGTTTGAAATACTGTCAGTGGGGTTTGGAATTGGGGAATGTTGGTTTTGCTACTGCTGAGTACTAATGTTCAACCCCAGAGAGTGAACACTAGCTTGATTTGTGAACTTAGGCCTCAGGGGATTAAATTTTAGTTTAGTCTTCAAATATGTTCATTATATTTTTACCTAATGATGTTTTTAAAAAATATGTTTTGATATGGGACTGCAATTGTTGATATAATGGTATTAAAAAAAATTAAATAAGGGATTAAAATTTGATGCAAAATTTAGAGACAAATCATTTTGTTCCATCTATTTATATAACTTAGACTTGAATTGATTTAGCTACGATGTTAGGCTACTTTTGGGCCTAGTCCAATGGGCCATTTACACATAGTCCAAATGGGATTGATCCAAATACGAACACTCGTCACCAATCTAATCTAATGTATATAATGGACTAGATTGTTCCATCAAATGAATTTATTCATATGATATCTTATCTACTATATAGTCCGGCATTTTTTTAGCTCTACTAAGAAAACCTTGTATGATAAGTATGAGCATGTTTTTTATATCACTCATCTAGAGTAAAGCTAATCTCATCCTACATATTTCACCGAATAGTATGATATTATTTAATTAGACTTAAACCACATGATTTTGTGTTTGGACTCTACGTACCTAAAAGATGTCATATGAATATAATAGAAATATTCTATTTACTCGTATACTATTATTTTATTTTTAGTACAACATATAAGAGTGGGGGATCGAAATCACAACCTCTTGGTTGGAGATATAGGCCAATTATCGTTGAACTATGCTAGTTTTGACTATTTACGTGTATACTAATGTTCACTGCATTATATATATATATGATTAATTTTCTATCGGACGGTTTTCAAAAAACCATTGAGAATATTTCAATTCTCCCAACTTTTTATACACAACATAAGGCGGAATAAGACATCTCGACTTTTGTTTGATTTAATTTTTCAATCTAATATGATTTTGCATGTCCCAAACCAATTGAAGGTAGAATAATTAGGATGAGAACATATCATAGGTCTTGATTGGCATTTAAATCGATCAATTAATAAATAGCTAACATCATGATAACAAACTTTACTTAAATCCATAAACAATAGCTCAACTGGTAAAATTGCAATTAATTCAGATTTTTCATATCTTTAAGGAAAAAAACAGAACACTTGTCCTCTTGCAACAAGGAAAAAAATAATCAAACATTTGAATGTCGGGAAGGCAGCCAACATCTCATGCCATGGGGTGTCATATGACCTCCCAAAAATCCAAGAATTTCTGTCCCAAGGACTTTGGGTTCCTTCACACTCACTCCCTTTTATTCCTTTTATTTTCTATCTCAATAATGAGTTCCTCTATTCATTTATGTCCCCTTTAATTTCGCTTCAATGAGACTATACCATCACTCTCCCTTTCAGAAAAAAAGTAATAATTTTTCTTAACATAACATTACAAATATACGAATAAAGAAAAGAGATTCCTAGAATTTTAAATAAGTGAGTTATAAAGTGTCTAACCCACACATTGAGAACGAGAAGTTACTTATATAAAGCTACGATTAAGGACAACGATACTCCAAATATGATATTGTCTGTTTTGGATATAAGCCTTACAATTTTGCTTTTAGTTTCACTAAAAAAAGTTTGGTACTAATGAATCACTCTTTTTTCTAGTCAATGTGAGACTTTGTTTATGCTCCCACTCAAGATCGTGGTTCTTTTGACTTATCAATCTTGGTCGGATCCTATTTTTAAACCGATTGCTCGTTTGAACGTTTTAGACTCTGATACCATATCAATATTCACGAGGTTACATCTCAAAATCATTTGACCGTGAAATCTTTTAACAAAACCAACTATATGATGAATATACTTAACTAACTATATAAATTAGTTATAATCAAAACATAAACTCAATCAAAAGTAATTTTTGCAACCTCTACAACGCCTATTACAACTAAAAAAAATGATTTCATTATTTATGATCATTTCAATAAGTGATTGATCTCGGTCGAGGAAGAAAAAGAGAGAAAATGACGAAATGGAATAAAATAATTGATGAATGATATTTTTTGTTAGGAATAATGTTAATGTTGTATAAAGGAAAGAGGATGAGGCACATGGCGACGACCCAGTGTGCCTCTTCCCGTTCCCGTGCACATGCCTAACCCTAATCCTCTGTAGGCCTACAGCATCTTTTGTAGCTTTCTTTCCAAAATTATGTTTCTAATAAATGCCCATTTTACATATTTTCCTTACTCTATAAAACTTGTTTCATAGCTTATTATTTGAAATTAAAACTGATTTAAAGTCGTTTGTTTAGTTGGAGTTTAAGATTTTCGTAGGACCGTTATCTAGATTTACACGTTTGTTTTTAGGAATATTGTAGGATACCCGAGTGTCTCTAGATGACATTTTGAAACATAGATTTCTAAAATTACTATGTTAAGGCATCGTTCATTCTTTTTTCTTATATTTTATTTTAATCAAATTTCTTTGTTTTGTTTTAATCTTGATATTTTCCCAACCAACTCTATTCAATTAACTAATTAAGTAATATACTTCATTTAAACTATATAATTTCTACCTTTATTTGGTTGGTAGATTTCTTTTTTCAAGATTGATATTAATTGTCATTCAAAAAATCTGCTAAAAAACCAATATTATTTCCTCAAAATTTTTCTTGTGATCTGATCATTTAAAAATATAATCCAATATAAATGTCATCAACCACAAATTTTTTTTTTAAAGAATTCAAGGTCAAGTTCAAATTGGAATTAATAGTTAATATTAAATATTTTATAAAAGTATCAAATTAATATAAATTAATGCGTTCCAAAATAATATTTATATTTAATATAAATTAAAGTAGAAAAAAAAACTATTAAATCAATAAATACATAAAAACCAATGTATAAATTTCATGAATATTTACGATATTTCAGACATTTAAAATTGAAAAATATAAGATGCCGAACATTAAATAGCCACTGCCAAATAAGAATAAGAAAGAGTTTAAAAGGCTCAACTCACCTTTTTGAGGGATGGGCTTTAACTATCATCGTATTTGATTTTGGTATTCTTAATAAAGAATAAAATAAAATAAAAAATAAAAAATAAAAAAATAATCTAATATGATTAAATTATTTTTTGAGGTCTTCAAGTCAATGTAAGACTTCCAGCTTCACAAATTACGAGTCAAGCCTTCGTTTATTTTGATTGGATACTTTAATTAAATCATACACTCATTAGCTTTATAATTGGGGTACACATTCAAAGTGATTTTAAAAATTAAAAAAACACATTAGGTCTTTTTATAGTAATTTTAGAAAAATTAATTAAACTAATATTTCTCTAAAAAGTGCTAATAGAAAAACATTACCATTAAAACTACTCTCTATTTCATGGGAATCAGATGGTTATTTATATGCTCGTGTTTGTTTGATAGAAATATTGGATTCTCGAACATTCTTAGATGTCCGGGCATCCTAAGATACCTATACGGAAGGCATCTGAGTAATTTTGGATGTCCTCCTATAACCTGAATTTATAAGATTCCGATTTTGAGGGCATATTCTATTGACAATTTTGTCCCTCATCGTTTTTGTTCTATAATACAACATTTAAGATGCAAGTTCAGTATCTTAAATTAGAAGTTTAAGAAAATGATAGGAGAGAGTGGGCACTATTGAATTCACGAATTTGTCGAACAAACTTCTATTTTTGCAAACCTGAATTCAACGTCTTAAACTAAACTCACAACCCCAAATTTCAAACACAAATACAAAATTTTACCATAAGAAGGATAAAAGTAAATAGAGAGATTTAGGGGATCTCATGAGAAAAAAAGTTGGTTGTTTTGTTTAACATATCAATTTCTTGCAATGATTCAAAATAGCTATTCGTAGAGCTACTTTCAAAACATAATGTCAAAATAGTTATTTATAAAGCAAATTTCAACTTAATCCAATAAAAGCAATTTTGGATTCCCTTCTCTTCCCGCAGATGCATATCCCCTCCTCTTTCTCTCTCTCTCTCTCTCTCTCTCTCTCTTTTTGCGTGGCTATGTGAACGTGATACCAGAGCAGAACAGAGCAGAGCAGAGCTGCACTTAATGCAATTCACTCTCCTCCAACCAATCGCTCTCCCATTTTAAACTACTCTTTCGTCTTCTTGCTTCTCACTCTCCACTTTCCTTCTCCCTCAAAACCCAAAACTGCAAAATGCTTCTGAAGAATCTCACACTCTGAAATCAGAGCAACAGCAGGAGCTGGAGCTTGTTTGTACTCATCTTCTTCAAAATGGGTTGCTGTGTCAGTACTGGTAGGACTTCTAATTCTGCTGCTCAGACTTCGAGATCTGGTTCTTCGCATTCCAAAATCAATGGCATTGGAAGCAGAGCACCCCCTCCACTGGAGGAGGAGTCTGTTAAGGAGGTTCTCTCTGAAACTCCCAAACCCAAACCCAAGCCGCCGCTGCCGGGTCTGCACGTTGGCTCTCCGGTAGGGGAGAGAAAAACAGAGAAATCGTGCTCCGGGAAAGTCAATGGGGGAGGAGATAGGATGGAGACGAAAATCCCCATTTACCCTGCTGAAGAAATTTCTGAGGTTTCCGACATTTGCAGCTTTAGTGAAACCCTGTCTACTACTACAATGACAGAGAAGATGATGGATGATTACGAAGAAATACGTCAGAGGATCTGTAGATCTCCGGCGAAATTGCCCAAAAACCGGTCGCTCTCCGACGACTGGGTTCCGAGGAGAGATAGACAGGTGGGGAAATCGCCATCGCGAAAATCCGATCAATCGCCCGGCCGGTTAATCGGCGGCGGTGTGGGAGCAGTGAAGTTGGTGCAAAGTAGAGACATGGGACAGAGCATCGCCAGGCGAAGTTTGAGGCCGGAGCCACGCCTGCCAAACAAGAGCGAGAATTCATGTCGGAGGTCCAGATCCCCTGCGACCACTCGGACCGACGGTGTAGCCTCCAGAACCGCCACTGGGCGGAGCCCGTCTGTCCGGAGGTCCGGAATGTCACCGGGGCGGGAAGCAACCACCGGAAGAGACTGTAACCGGAAAGAAGCACCACCGGCTCAGGCTACACAATACGAGACTCCAGAGGGAAAATGGCGGACAACAAACGAGTCCCTCGATAACCCACTTGTTTCATTGGAATGCTTCATCTTTCTCTGATATAGAGAAATATTCCGGCCAGTTTACCGGACCGGTGAGTGCTGTTTCCGGCACTCCGTTCAATCCACCTTTTTTGTGTGTTCTACGGCTGGGTTTTCCATTTTTGGGTCTGGAAATTGTAGTAAGTTGTAAATAATGAATGTCAAAAAGGTCAATTTAGGAAATAGGCCGTATCGGCACAGTTGGGTAGGCGAAATCTCTCTGTTTTCCCTGAAAGTAAATCTTTTGCAATGTTGGTACAGAGATTTCAATTTTCATTTCCCTCTCTCTCTAATTAACATCTTATGGAAATTGAAGATTTGTTAGTATTAATTCTACGCTAAAAGAGTGGTTTTTATGGATAATCAGAGACGTCATCCAAATTGAACAGAGTAGCTATTAGTGAACTCTGGTTTTTGTGGTACAACTAGTCAGGATTTTCTGACCAACACCCTTAAACCCATTAAAGACAAAAGGGTAGGAAGAAAAATAAAAAGTAAAACTTTGAAGTCAGCACAGCACAGCAGATGCTTTCTGAAAAGAAGAACCGATCAAAGATTCAGATCAGAGTTAAGACTTAGAGTGAAGAAGAAGGAAGGATGGACGAACAGACCAACTTTTTCTTTCTTCTGCACTGGTAAAAAGTAATAACAAATCATCTACCATTGCGTCCAACTTTTGCTTTCTGTGTCGACCGACAAAAAAATAACAAAACAATTCCAAAGCTGAAGAAGGGAAGATCTATCCATGAGAGAGGAAACCTGTTCGGTGGTTGCTCAAGTTTGATGTTGTGTAATATTGTAATGTATATTCTATTAAATGTATTTGCTGTCTTGCTCTTGTTGGATTCTCAATTTCGGGCTCTGCCATCAACAGAATGGAGAGAGTATTAGTTGTTTTGGAGTTTTTGAAACTCTTGATCTTTTCGGCAAGAGACAAAAGGAGGATTTCCTTCAGAGTTTTGATTCAGAACTCCAAAAATATTGCTCTACGTGGGATATGAAATTTGCCACTTACCAACTCTTGCGGCACTTCATGCATCTTTTATTTTGATATCATTTTGTGCAAATACAGATACAAATACTGTCTGATTTAAGAGGTAGAAACAGATTGGACAATCATAGAATATAGAAGAAACGAATACAAGTTTCATACATATCTAGACAGTTTCAATTCCGCTCATACTCGAATACCATTTTACATTGCACCACTTGCTCACAAACTAAGATATCTATTTGATTGCTAAGGTGATCAAGCCAAATTTGAAGGGCCAAAAAAAAAAGGGATAAAAACTGAACCTTGTAGAAGGCATAAGAATGTGAAACAAGCTACTTTGAAATAGGGCAATGTAGTCAGAGGAGGTAAAGCAAGGTGGGCTGTGAGCGTATGTACAGAATAAGAACCTCTGGAAGTGGGGGGGAAAAACAGCCTCAAATATGGTACCTTTCTGACTACTGGGTTCTGGAGATTAGTTTTGCTTGAATAAATCGTCACTGAGTAGAGTTTTTACAGAACAGACCTCTTTTCCATGCTTGGTTTCTTTGATCTCATAGGGAACTTGAGTTTTCAGTGAGATGGGAACTGGTGGTGGCATAGGATGTGGTGTTGTGTTGATGCTGTGGCCATGGAATGCGTTCGGGAGGACAGGGAACAGGAGCCGGGTGGGCGATGTACGTAGGTATATGATCTCCTGGCATCAGCACTGAAACTCCACAGGAATAAACAGTCATCTGCACATAAATAAAACAAAAACGTTAGATCACTAAAATCGTCAAAGAACAATATCCCAGTTTTAAGGAGTATGACAGCAATAATTTTTACACGGTATTGCTGCTTCTTCTTTGTAGTACAAATGGATAACATTTCTCACAGAGTTAAAGGGCAACAAATGACTTTGACACTCAGAATCTTGAGATCTTACAACATTATAGTGAGATTGTGTTGTTGATACTGAGAAAACATTCTAAGAGAACAATAAGGTGGAAAAAAGAGGCACAAAGTTGTACTTACATATAAAAATTCAACACTAGATGTAGTACTATATTGCCAATCAAACGATTACCAGAAATTTCAGCAGGATTTTACCATTGCATTACAAGGACAGGCAGATTAAGGCTAATCATAGGTGACTGATTCAAGAAAAAACCTTGTTGCATCATACGATCAAGTGCATATATTGAGCTATAGACTTATAGCTTGGTCCATAAAGTTGAGGGAACCAAACTTCTTGGCTTTTGATAGGAACTAGAAATTGAACTGGAACTTAAGCAAAAATAGTAGTGACGCAAGAAAGGAAAACTGAAAGATCCCAAGCACTTCAAAAGGCCTGGACTCTCTCAAAACTCACTTTATTTATAACCACTCAGAAAAAGTAAACTGAGGTCGACTTGATGATGCAAAGTCGAGGGGAACCGAGTGCCGAAAAAACTGCACTCTAACAACTTCTAGGTAATTACAGTCATGTCCTTGTTCATATCCCTAACATGTACTACCAGTATTCCTAACAGCTTTCCACATACAGGTATTAGCCCTGTAATTGGGGAATTAGACAGGACCCCACTAGGTAGGCCTGATGTGTTTCTTTGAAAGCTACAAGGAGCGCCCGTCGATTAAAGATGTGTCACATGGCAATAAATATGAAATATATCTTATCAACAAGGTTTGGACATAAAATTCTTGACACAGTTTAGCCAGCAATTTTCCACCAATAAATCTAATATTTTTACAATGTAAGATAGACAAAATTACATCCTGAAGTCCATTCTTCATACATGTTTCTTCTTCTAACAAATATTATTGTAGGGTGGAGGGGGGAATGACCCCATATCCATAACAGAAGCAAGGACCATGTGGATATATAAAGCATTGAGATTGACTTTGATGCACAATTTGGTGGGACAAAACACCAGAAACACTTTTGTCAAAAGACACTATAGGGGCAAAACAAGAAGTGACCATTAAACAAACGACTATCAGGTCCTTGCCTAACATCCATAATTACAAGACAATGCCGTCCTATGATAATGGAGGTGCGTATTTTGAAATGGAAAGAGACTTATAATTATAAGTAAAGAACAAATTATATGTCCACTAGCCTGTTCTTTTATTTTTTCCCCCTCCATTTTAGAGTCGAAGAAAGATTGGGCTGATAAAAGTCAGTGCTCGTGAGCAATGCTGAAGCATTCAGGGAGAAGGCAAGAACTACGAGCTACACTTGAACTTTCAAAACCAATTGAAGAGAATGGAACTAATTAGGAGAAAACTGCAAACTAATCCTTTTAAATGTAACTTGGAAGAAAAGTCAAAGTTAGAAACAGAACAAGTTGTTCTGATTCCAAATTCAAGAACACGGGTTGTCTCAGTTAGTTAACTAGTACAGGACGAGAAATTTCCATTTTGAATTGAAGACTGCAAGAACTTTGATCCAACAAACACAAGACATTCAGAGAGAGAGAGAGGGAGGGGGATGTAGAAGAAAGGCCTCAATTTAAAACTATTCAAAACAGAGACAAAGACAAACAAATGAGAAATTATGCGCCTCATGTATTTCCGAATTCCAAATATCCAAACAAAGCCAGCAAAAAATATCTACAATGTACAACAATTCACCATCGATAAGCAAGAAGCAACAAAAATTAAGGTGAAACGAAATGATGAAACAAATTTGTTAAAATTAAGTGCACCCTCTGTCCTCCACATGATTTTTCAAATTTCAATCCATTTCATATTACAAACTAAAATAAGATAAAGGAGACAACAGAAATAAGATAAACAAACATACGGACATCACTTTATAAACCCAGTTCTTTTCGGCCTTTATCCCAAGAATCCAACGGTCCAGATAAGAAAACCCAGAAATTAAAACAGGGGGTGTGCAGTAAATGGCAGCAAAATCAAAATCCAAAAATTGCAGACGAAATAGAAACAGCGAGGAGGAAATTGGGCGAACTCACTTTAGGCGAGGGATGGCCAAGCTTTCCCGCAAACCTCACCTGCGCCTCGGGGTCAAGGTGGCTCCGGCCAGCGGTGTGAGAGAAAGCCGTGGGAGCAGGTCGCAAAAACCTTTCGAAAATGGCCATGACCAAGAACATAGAGACGAGAATGGCGGTAGCAACAAACCCAAAAGAGACGGCGTCGACTGAGTTGTCGAAATGCCTCCAGTGGTCCTCTCTGTGCAGGTCTAGAGGAGCCCCAATTGGGGACCATCCATAGTCTTCTTCACCCATATGATGCCGAAAGGTTTCAGAGAAGTTTCCCCGTTTCGACATAGCTGCTCTTGTAGCTCATGGCAGCTTAATTAGAGAGAGAAGTGGAGGGATTGGATCGAGAGTAGTACAAAAAGTATTGGCAGTAGTTAAGGCTTTTCGCTGTTGTCAAGAAATTGAGCAGTCACTGAACTTGTAATATAGGCCCCAAAAACAGAGAGAGAGAGAGAGAGAGAGAGAGAGAGAGAGAGAGAGAGATGTGAAGGTGGTGTGGGCTATCATCTCAACACAACGCAACATACAGTTTACCGGAGGGTGAAAAAAGGGCTTTGGAATTTGGATGCTTTCTTTCGGAATTTGCAATTCCATTGTCGTTTGGAAAAATGGTTGTTTTGGGTTTTGGTTTTTGGCTAAAGGCTCTGCTGAAAATTTTACAAGTAATCAGCTTTTTGACCTCAATTTTACAGTTTCAACATTGCAACCAAAGCTACCGAGTATCCACCTCTTTGCCATTACACGAAGAAGAAAAGAAAAGAAAAAATAGCACTACTACATGCCATTAATCTTTGCATTTATGAATGAAAAAAAGTTACTAAATTGGAAATATCAGCTCCCTCAGCTGAGAAATAACTTTTTTGAAAAATTTAATGTTTTTTTTTACGAGCATTATTGAGACCGAAGAAATTGAATAATTAGATTAATGGTTCCTCCATAGGACAACATATTGGTTGTAATATGGGCCAACATTTTGCCTTTTCTGGTCTCATTGTTGCACTTACACCCACAGGGCCCAGCCCAACAACTCACCCTCCGCCCCCCTCCCCCCGGCGTTGGACCGACATCAAATTCCTAGTTTACCCCTCTATTTCCATCCAAATTACACAAACTGCCATTCCTCCCTCCAGAGTTCAATTTTTGTGCGCCGACGAAATTAATTGACTAGAAGGAAAGAAAAATAATACTAGATCCGACCCAG